CACGTGGTTGGGCCTCGCCTGCTGGAGCGGGCGGCGCGCAGCCTCGGGGGCGCGCACTAGAGGGGAAGAACCTAGTCTCTGCATTTTGCCTCCACTTCCTTAACTCTGCATCTTGGCTTCTAAAGATGAGGATAGGAGTTTAACAAGTTCAGGATCTCTTGGGAGCCTTTCCCTTCTCCCAGGTCTTGTTAGACACCCTGTTTACCTGCCCCTAATTGCCCCAGGGGGAGACGTTTGCTCCTTCCCCGCTCCCCTACCTCCCGTCCAGTCCCCTGCTGACACCGAAGGTTAAGTTCCACGGGCCTGGGAAGCTGGGGGCGCTGTAGAAATGAGAAGAGTCGGGATGCACCCAGGGGCGTTGCAGGCCGGGAGGGACGAAGTAACCAGGTTAGGGGCTAATCCCTGTAGAAGAGCGGTGAAGACCTTTCTGTGAGAGGAGTGGGAAATAACAAGGGAATAAAATGGAGGGAAGAACGGAGAACTCCCTGAAGAACCCATTCCCTAGATGCTGGCCCACCCTCCGCGGAGCGCGGGAGCGGGGGTAACCTTGGAGGCACGGTAAGCTGCAAAGCTCTTCTGGGGCCTGTGTGCACACCTCCCCTTCACTGCTGGGCTAAGAAGGATGACAGATTCAATTAAAGAGGTTGTGCCTAACAGACAGGTCGGGTCTCCTAGGAGTTATGGTTTGGGATTTCTGGCACCCAGCCTTCTGCTCTGTATCCACCAATGGACACAGCTAACTTGCTATCGGGTTTTGACCCACATGACCAGGTTGGGGGCATTTCTGAGGCTTTACTTCCATCAATCACAGGGGTAGGTAAGAGGTGACTTCTTTTCCTGTCGTTATACAGCAACCGCTGTATATGCTCAGCCCGCCCTCTTGAGGAAACTGAGGTACCACCTGTGGGAATATCTCTGGAGTTGGCTTGCTCCCTGCTGTGAGGCTGGAGGAATGGGGCAGCTGCAGGGAGGGGCTCCTTCAAAATCAGACTGGATACATGGGTGAGGCTGAAGGAACATGGCTCCAGGGTGGCTCTGGGGCTGCTCTAGGCCTGGCACCCTGTGCTGACTGGCGGGTGGCCCCTTCCCCAGGACCTTAGGGAAGGAACAAGAGACTGTGGGGTTGGGATGGACATACAATGCATGGGTGGTGGCTGGGAGCAGCCAGGCCTTGTCTAACCCGTTTTCCTGCTCTCGGCGCCCGTCGAGACTCCTGCCCACCTGAGCGCCAGGGACAGGGAGGGGCCCGAGTGACCCATCACTCCCATGGGAACCAAGTGGGACTGGTGGCATTCCTGATGACTCAAGAAGGCTGTGCCCATTCTTACTGCAGAGCCCAGACACCAGCTGTTACACATCTGCCTCACTGCTGGTTCTGGGGAGGGGGCAATACAAATAAATCCCGTGAGGATGGGTGATGTCAGGTGGGATCCTCAAGGCCTCATCCCATGGTGAGGCCTTTCCTTGCTGTTTGTGGGACTGGGTAGTGCCTGGTGACAGAGAGCCAGTTCCTCCCCTAGGGAGTTCCCGGGGACTAGGGAGCCCAATGGTTTGTCCTTTCACCAGGTAACCCATGCCTCCCTGTGCCCACTGTACTCCCGTATCACTGCCAGCCTATGCACACTTGCCCTCGGGAAGTTAAAGGAAACTTCTAGCCTCTCCTCCACACTTCTACATTGAGGTCTCTGGCATTCTGCGCTACCACCAGGATGTTCAGACCAACACTTAGATGGAGACTAACAGGCAGGTGGGGGTTCCTGGGGACCCAGTATCTGCTTCTCTGTCCAGAGACTCCCTTGGAAAGTGACAGCCGCAGTCCTCTTGTCTAGGCCCTGTGTGTGTTGGGGGCAGTGGCGTCTCAATGGAGAAAGGAGGTGTGTGAGGAGAGAGAGAGCTTGGCGTGGTCACAGGTGGGGCCTTGATACTGAACTCTTCCGCTCCCTGATCTGTGTCAGGTTATTGGGGACTTAATTGTCCACGGTCTCAGGATGGAGGGAGGTAAATGGGACTCAAAAGCGCAAAGATAGAGGTCCTGCCCTGTCGGGAATTCAGGGGGAAGCCCTGAGACTGTTGGGGCTAGCTCAGCACACATGCAATGTAGCTCTTGTGAGTATCTGCTGCCTGTGAGTGGGCGGTGGACATTTTTGTGTTTGTGCCATAGAACTTGTGCATGTATGTGCATGAAGCCGCCATACATGCGTGTATGAGGGCAAGTCCTGTCGGACTGGCCTGGGGGGTGGACCTGCAGCAGCAAGAAGGCATTCTGGGAGAATCGATGCTAGGGTTTGTGTTCCAAGTAAGGGGTCTCAATTCTTTCCCCCTTCGCTTCCATTCCTTCAATCCCTCCTCGGGCCTGGTGAATTATGGGGAATGGGCTGAGGAAATCCGGGCCTGGGTCTGGGAGTCGTTGGGGCCTGCGCTGTTACTGTGGCAACCAGAGCTGGGTTCCTTCTTTCCTCCGCCCCTCTCCCACTCTTCCTTAGGAGGTAGGCCAGGCTTCTTTGTGCCTTTGCTACCCTCTGGTGGCCACCAGGAGAAAGACAGGCTAAAAGGAGAGGGCACAGTGGCACTCTTGGACTCTGGGAACAGAAAGGGGCCGAGAAAAAGTCAAGATTTGGGGGGAATGAATTTTTATGATGAAAATACATTATGTATGTGGACTAAAATGTCCTAATGAAGAAATGCGAAGTAGTGGCATGGAAAACCATAGAGCACTGGGCTTTCTTTGACCGCTTCATTTGTCCACAGCCTGCGGCGAGAGGGCTACACGGTGCAGGTGAACGTGAACGACTATCTGGATATTTACTGTCCGCACTACAATAGCTCAGGGCCTGGCGGCGGGGCGGAGCAGTACGTGCTGTACATGGTGAACCTGAGCGGCTACCGCACCTGCAACGCCAGTCAAGGCTCCAAGCGCTGGGAATGCAACCGGCAGCACGCCTCGCACAGCCCCATCAAGTTCTCCGAGAAGTTCCAGCGCTACAGCGCCTTCTCGTTGGGATATGAATTCCATGCCGGCCAAGAATACTACTATATCTGTGAGTGCCGGGTCCTCGGTCTTTTGAGTGACAGGGTAGGGTCCCAGGGATCCCCGTCCGGCTGATGTGGTCGTCACCAGAGTTGTGAGGATGGGGGTGGGGGGTTGGTGACAGCCCCAAGTTTGGGCCTCAGAGCATTTCTGTTCCGGGCATTCTGGGTTGGGCTGGCCACAGAGCCATGGTGACCACTGCCCAAAGGATGGAGCAGTTACTCCAGGACATAGCCGGATGCGGGCAATTTGGGGGGGGGGGGGAATGAGAGTTTAAGCGTAAGGTCGCAAGGGCACCAGTGAGTGAAAGCAACTCAGGCCCAGTCTCCTCCCCAGCCACGCCCACTCACAATCTGCACTGGAAGTGTCTGAGGATGAAGGTGTTCGTCTGCTGCGCCTCCAGTGAGTAGCGTCGTCGGCTTCCAACCATGTCCGCATCCTCGCCTCCCTGCTTTGGGGCTCCCTTGACTTCCTCGGGATGGGGGCGGAGGGCACAGGCGACAGGGATTAGCTTCCCAGCTGTAGCAGGGGGAGGGGTCCATGCCCTGACTTTCCCCTCCTCTCTCCCCACCCGCACCCCACCCCGCAGCATCGCACTCCGGGGAGAAGCCGGTCCCCACTCTCCCCCAGTTCACCATGGGCCCCAATGTGAAGATCAACGTGTTGGGTGAGTCTGCGCAGCGCCCTCTGGTGGCCACTGCTGGAACCGCAGCCCCCTTCCCGGTGCCTGCTTTTTTTCCGCATGCCTTCCCTTGGGACACCGGTCCATCCTGCCCGTCCCGCCCCCGTGGGTGGTCACATCCCTGGCTCCACTGCTGCTGCTGCTGCCGCCTCCGCGTGCCCCCCGCCCCAGCGTCCAGCACAGCCCTTACCAGTCTGTCTGTTTGTCTCTCCACAGAAGACTTTGAGGGAGAGAGTCCCCAGGTGCCCAAGCTTGAGAAGAGCATCAGCGGGACCAGCCCCAAGCGGGAACACCTGCCTCTGGCCGTGGGCATCGCCTTCTTCCTCATGACACTCTTGGCCTCCTAGCTCTGTCCCTTCCTATGACAGAGAGAGGTGGGGCAGAGCTGAGAAGGAGCAGGGAATCAGCTGTGGGGCCTACATCCTTCTTGCCGTGGTTGGGAGTGGGATCTGACCGTACATCTGTCTATCTGTGCCTGCCCTCTTTGCCCACTGTCTAGGACAGGCGTTGTAGTGGATCAGGCACAGGGGCAGCCACAGGTCCCAGGTGGCCTGTGGCTTTGGTAATGTTTGGTACCAAACCTGGGGGCTTTAAAAGGCAGTGCTCAGGACTCCCTGCTCCCTGGTACCTTTCCCTGACCCTGGTGCCCTCCCTCTTTGTCCCCCAAGAGGCACATATGCCCCAGAGAGAACAAATGAAGCTCGGGAGGTGCCCCCTGTCACTCTCCTCCGGGGCAGAACATGGGGAGGGGACTAGATGGGTGAGGGGTGGAGCCTCAGGCTACCCCTCCCCTGTTTACAGCAATAAGCATGTCCTCCTCCCTCCTCCCTCCCACACAGAGGGCTGTGGTTTGGATTGAATCCAAGTTTACAAATAGACACCCCTGGGGGGAGCAGGCAGTGGACAGGGGTGGGCATTGGGGTGCCAGACAGGCATGTACAGACACTATATCTCTATATATAATGTACAGACAGACAGAGCCCTTCCCCTCTTTAACCTTGACCTTTCCTGACCCCCCCTTCCAGATTCAGACCCCTTTCCCACCAGGTTAGGCCCCTCTTGGGACCCCCCTGGCCCCTCTTTTGTCTTCTGTGAAGACAGGACCTATGCAACGCACAGACACTTTTGGAGACCGTAACAACAATGCCCCCTCCCTTCCAGCCCTGAGCGGGGGAACCAACTCCCAGGACCTTGCCCTGCCCACCCTATGTGGTCCCCACCCATCCTGGGCCTTTTTCAAGTGCTTTGGCTGTGACTTTCATACTCTGCTCTTAGTCTAAAAAAAATAAACTGGAGATAAAAATAACTGAGTGTGTGTGGTTTCAAGGGGCCATGTCCCTCTGTTTCACTGGCTGAACCCTATAGGGCTCAGGTCCCGGTGATCAGGGCATTCTAGCTCTGAGTCCATGGAGTGCCTGGCTCTAGGGTCCAGCTCTGTGTGCAGAACCTGGGCGACTTTGGGCAGATTCCTTAACCTTTCTAAGCTCAGGCTTCCCACAGGGGGAATGGCTTCAGTCCCCGTTTCCCAGGGCCCATGTATGGGGGTTAAGGCTCAGGCTGGCGTTCTCTATGCTGTAGTCGGAGGATTTTGACTGGGTCCAAGGATTTCAGGGGATTTGTGAACCTAGATAGGAAAAAATGGCATTCTTTATGTTCACTCACCCGCGACAAGTTTAGCCTTCCCTTATGTACTTGGGCATCAGGCCACATAGCGTTAACGGCACCTGTGACTTTGTAGCCGACGGAAATCCCAGATGTTTTCAGACTGCTTTATATCTCAGAATATCATTGATGCGTCACTACTTTGAAATGATCATAGCTGTTAGATTTTCCTTGTTTTTAACATGTTAATAAAGAAACATATATATTACATACCAAAAATGTAAATGTCTGTTAACTGTGTTTCAGTATAACTGGGATCCTTCATGACACTTTGTGATTTTGTTTAAAAACATGTTCCCTGCTAGGGCCTGCACTCCACGTAGCTACAGCACCCGGTCAGGAGAGCAGAAAGGACAGAAGGTTAAGGGTAGAGCACGGACAGGACAATCCAAAGGGGCCTCTCAGGAGCCAGGGAGGGGGCTTTCTCATAGCCCAGGGGACTTTACCCCACCCTGGTTTCCTTAGTGGCACTGAGCACAGGCTAGACCCCTCCTACGTGCTCCTGTGGCTGTTGGTAGCATTGTAATGCCCTAGCCAGGTAAGGCGGCGTGGACCTGTAACCCCAGCACTCAGTGGGGCTCAGGAGAAGACTGCAGATTCAAGGGTGGACTAGGCTATAGAGTGGTACCGTATCTGAGCATGTACAGGCTCTTGCTAAGGTTTGGCTATCACCTAGCAGAGATGGCTGTAATGGGCAGGCAGGGAAAGAACCAGAAGCAGGCGATGGGCCAACCTGACACCACTATACCAAAAGACCAGAAAGGCTGGCCCAGCCATCAGTTTTCCACGTTGTTAGTCGATACTCAGTGAACACCTGCCACGTGCCAGGTACTGGTGGAACAAAGAAGGCACTGTCTATACTCTCAGATACACTGATTTCCCAGGTGTGGTGGTACACACCTGTAATCCTGGCACATGGAGGCTTACCGCTTCCTCAGGCATCAGGCATGCATGTGGTGCTCAGACATACGTGCAGGCAAAGCACTTGTATGAATAAAACAAATCTTTAAAAAATAAAAGACTCAGGCTGGGCGGTGGTGACGCACGCCTTTAACCCCAGCATTTGGGAGGCAGAGGCAGGTGGATCTCTGAGAGTTCAAGACCAACCTGGTCTACAAGAGCTAGTTCCAGGACAGGCTCCAAAGCTACAGAGAAACCCTGTCTTGAAAAACAAAACAAAAAACCAACAAGAAGACAGGAGGAAAGAACTGTCAGAAGTTGTCCCCTGGTCTCCACATATTCTTGTGTATACACAACATGTTCATAACTTTTTAAAGTTCCTATGCTGGCTGGTTTTGTGTCAGCTTGACACAAGCTAGAGTTATCTGAGAGGAGGGACCCTCATTTGAGAAAACACCTCCATAAGATTGGTTTGTAGAGCATTTTCCTAATTAGTGGTTGATGAGAGAGAACCCAACCTGTTGTGGGTGGTGCCATCCCTGGGCTGGTCTATAAGAAAGCAGGCTGAGCAAGCCAGTGAGCAGCTCCTCTCCGTGGCCTCTGCACCAGCTCCTGCCTCCAGCTTCCTGCCCTGCTTCCGTCAGTGATGGCTGCTGTGCAGGGAGCCAGGCAAAGCCTTTCCTCCCTGAATAGGTTTTGATCACATTGTTTCAGCACACAAATGACAACCTTACCTAAGACTGCTCCTAATTAATTCCATATGTGTTGGTGTGTGCTGGCTAGTTTTATGTCAGCTTGACACAAGCTATGTCATCTGAAAGGAGGGAGCCACAATTGAGGAAATACCTCCGTCAGGTTAGTCTGTAGGACATTTTCTTACTTAGTGATTAATGTTGGGGAGCAGCCCATTGTGGGTGGTGCAACCCCTGGGCCGGTGGTCTTGCCAGGAGGTGGTGGCACACACCCTTAATCCCAGCACTCTGGAGGCAGAGGCAGGTGGATCTCTCTGAGTTCGAGGCCAGCCTGGTCTACAGAGTGAGTTCCAGGACAGCCAGAGCTACACAAAGAAATACTGTCTCAAAAAAAAAAAATTCAAACAACAACAACAAAAGGAATGCAGGCTGAACGAGCTGTGATGAGAAAAGTCAGTATGCAGCACCCCAATGTGCCCTCAGCATCAGCCCTGCCTCCAGGTTCCTGCCCTGTCTGAGCTCCTACCCTGACTTCTTCAGTGATGGACTGTGATGTGAGGCATAAGTCAAATAGACAAACCCTTTCCTCCCCATCATGCTTTGGCCATGGTGTTTCGTCTCAGCAGTAGTAACCCTAACTAGGACTCGGTATGTGATCAAAAATTAGTAGTACACCACACACACACACACACACACACACACACACATATACCATGAGTATACCATGGTTAAAGGCCAGGGGTTATGGGAATAGCTGGGGAAATCACAAATCACATCTTTCCCCGGGTCAGAGGAAGCCCACTTCAGCGAGGAAGTTCACAATGCTGGCTCCCTGTGCGGAGCTGGAAGCCCTGCCACAGTGCAGATCATTCATGAGGCAACAGGACTCAGCTGTGGATTCTGAAATTTCCAGGCCAGGCAAGGCTGGCGACCGGGATGGGGGTGCTTGTGGCTTCAAGAATTTAGAATAGGTCTCATTCTCTGTTCTATTGCTGTAGTCACCATGGCCAAGGCTACGCTTACCAAAGAAAACACCTCACTGGTGACTTGCTCACAGTACACTATCACCATGGCTGCAAGCAGGTGTGGTACTGATGTAGCTGAGTGCTGCACCCTGTTGCAGAGGCAGAGAAAGGGAGAGACTGGGCTGGTGGACTTCTGAAACCTCAAAGCCCACCCCCGTGACACTCTTCCTCCAACAAGGCCACACCTCCTTGTCCTTCTAATCCTTTCCCAGGTCCACTCCCTGTTCTCACTCAAACACCACAGCAGAGCAGTAAGGGGTAAAAGGGGCTGCCCCGAGCCCCATGGCCACGTTTTATCCCTGAATCCCATGCGCAGAAGAGGACTGGGTGCTCGACGCTGTCCTCTAACCACCAGCAACACCCTGGACGAAATAAGTAAAAGAAAAACAAATTTTTAAAAATTTAGAAATAGTCAGACCGTGAAGGGGCCACGGATTTGGGGGTGGTGTTTCCCCAGCACTGTGTGGCCTCTCGGGCCTTACTGCTGCACCGACACATGGTGTCTAAGAGCTGTGTCCCTCGGCTAGTGGCAGGAGGAAGGGCTGACAGTCAAAGTGGGTCTCAGAGCTAAGGTGCAGCCCAGTGGTAGAGTGCTTGCTTCGGATGCGTGAAGTTCTGGGCTTGATGCTCCGCATCAGGAAAGCAGCAGAGAGAAAAACCGGACTTGACTGTCACCTCTGACCACCCCTTTCAACACCCGGAGCCTTCCCATGAGTCCTGACTTCCTCCGCTCATGCCCACAGCCATCACCTCTGCCCCTGTGACGGGAAAGGTTTATGAAGACCTCAAGCCTGCGCGAGTGGCCCAGAGCCTTCATTTCACAGGTGGGTTAACTGGAGTTCACAGACAGCAGCCACTTAGCCTTGGGCACAGGGATGTGTCAGAGCTTAGACTGGACTGTGTGCTGAGCCCTCGTCTTCTCTTCTTTCATACATAATCCTCAGAGGGGAAAATGCACGTGGTCAACAAGCAGTGACAAAGGTGCCGCCCCCTCCACGATCCCTTTCCGTTTCCCTGACACTCCAGCAGGAAACCCCTCTCTCTCAGTCAGGCCTCTTCCAGTTTTATTTCTTTAGCTGTGGGGTGGGAGGAGCATTTATTTCTGCTCTTCATGCAGACAGTTACGGTGGCAGGAGGTTGAAGGCCCTCGTCACACCACACCACAGTCAAGAACAGAGAGGAACCAAGTCTGAGGCCTGGAACACATTTAATCCCAGCATTCAGGAGGCAGAGACAGGTGGAACTCTGTGAGTTCAAGGCCAGCCTCGTCTACAGTCTGAGTTTCAGAACAACCAGGACTATTTCAAAAAAGGAAGGAAAAAAGAAAAGAAAGGAAAGAAAGAAGAGAAATAAAATCCCATACTCTTGCTTGATTTATTTTTAAGGTTTTGAGACAAAGTCTCATTATGTAGCTGGCCTCGAACTCACAGAATTCCATCTGCCTCTCCCTCCTGAGGGCTGGGATTAATGGCGTGTGCCACCACGTCAAGACTGGTTGCTGCTCTTGGTTAGCTTTTTCCTTCTGTTCAGGATCCCCTGCCTTGGGAACGCCCCCACAATGAGCTGAGTCTTCCCTATCAGTTAACAATCAAGACAACTCCACACAGACAATCCCCAGGCTAACTTGATGGAGTTAATACCTGATGAAAACGCTCTGCCCAGGTGAGCCCAGGTCGTGTCAAGTTAAACGTAACCGGCACAGAGAACTTTTGTTTCTGCAGGACCAGTGACAGGACTGAGGACTGAGGACGGGCTCAGCACTTAGATGAACACAAGCCAGGGCCTTCTAGGTGTCGTCCCAGGGTTTGAGCTTTGGCTGATTTTGCTGCCCCACCCTGCACAGAGCTCTGAGGCAAGGCATTCAAGTCTGCAGATGGGGAGGCGAACCCCAGATGGGCAGCACCCAGAGAGGAGTTTTCCATCTCCTTTGCCTTCATCTCAAAAAGGACACCAAGGGTCCCCAACCAGTCTCTCCGATCTAGCGTTTTACATCCCTCCGTTGCCCTCTTGAGTGGGCGGCAGGGAACAGCCACAACAAACGCGCAGCTGTCGTAGACCGCGAGGCTTGTTTCGGAGTAGCTGTGTCCTCTCCTGTGTGAGAGACTGGGGTGAGTCAGCTATGCTCAGGGCAGGGAGAGAACCAGGGCTGTTTGCGACACAGGCTTGGGATCTGAGCTATTTGTGGCTGGGTGCCCACTCAGAGTCTGAAGTTCTACTTAATATCCACCAGGTGGCACAACATTTAGATTGAATTTAGACTGAGGGGTTAACCACGGTATGTGTAGAGTTTCAGAAAGTTTTTTGTTGTTGTGTTTTTAAGGGCTTTCTCCTCCTCCTCCTCCTCCTCCTCCTCCTCCTCCTTCATCTTCTCCTCCTCTTCCTCCTTCTCCTTCTGCTTGTTTTGTTGTTGTTTGTTTTGAGATGGGGTCTCTCAATGTAGTCCTAGCTGTCCTAGAGCTTGCTATGTAGATAAGACTGGCCTCGAACTCACGGAGATCCACTTGCCTCTGCCTCCTGAGTACT